GGAAGCATCAAAAAAATTTCAGGAATTCAATAGATGTGTAGTCTTAGTGGAAGAGATGCAAAAGCTTAAATAAGGGAGAAGAAAGCGTCAGGGTACCAAGGCCACATGAGGCAGTGACTACTGGGATGTCCATCAGGAAAAAAAATGTAAAAAATGATTAACAATTAAAAAAAATAATATTTTATACTATTACAAAAATAAGCTTAATATGATATTATTTTCATAAGCTTATTCTACAATTTCAAGTATAAGCTTATAAATAAGGGTTCCGTTTCGATTATTCTATACTTGTTACACAAACATTTTTCAATGTTTTCTCGAGATTTTCTCAAGATTAAGGCTTATTTTCATAAGCTTATTGTAATATTATTCTCAAGCCATTTTGGTATGTTGGGACCGTTTGCATAATGCTGTTAAATTTTCAAAAACCCATAAAGTGTGTGAGGTCGTTGTATGGAGGCTATACCAAAACGGGAATTTCTATAGACATTTTTATACTTCAAGGATTGTCGTCTACCAAAATTGTATTCTTAAATACCAAGTTTGAAACAATTTCGTGGGTAAATGTGATTGGGATAGTCAAAATACCGAATATCGGTGGGTATCGCTATGGACCTGTACATAAAAAGTCTAACCAACGGAGCTAGAATCCATTACGACCCACAAATACCAAATTTTAGACAAATCCGTGGAAAAATGTGGCAAAAATCACCAAAATACCGAATATCGGGAGGTACCGTGTTATGGCGGCTATACCAAAACGTGTATTTATATATATACAATATATCGCCACCGGAGCTAAAGTCCATTATGACCTACAAATACCAATTTTTAAAAAAAATTGTGGAAAAATGTCGCACAAATCATCAGGATACCGAATATCGGGAAGGTACCGATATATGGCGGATATACAAAAACGTGGACCTAAATATACAATGCTTCGCCACCGGAACTAGAATTCACTATGGCCTACAAATACCAATTTTAAGACATATCCCTCTAAAAATATAGCAAAAATTAACAAAACACCGAATATCAGGAGGTTTCCGTATATGGGGACTATACTAAAACGAAGAACGATATACCTCATTTTCAATACCAACCATCCTAGGACCTGCATACGCAATTTTCAGTGAAATGCTGTAGTACCCATTTGGACCTAAAAATTGAAATTAAAAATAATTCAGTTGAATAATGTCGCTAATATAATCAAAAGACAGAAATATCTGGGTTATACGAAGACGTAGACCTGCAAAAACAATTTTCTGTCATAGGTAGAAGAATCCATTACAAACTTTAAATACAAAATTTGAAACAATTCCAGTCTATACCATAAAAATACAGAATTTTATATAGCAACTATACGAAGAGGTGGGTCTGTAAATGCAATTTTTTGTTACAGGTTGAAGTACCCATTAAGATCTTCCAATACAAAATTTCAAACGATTCCGGTAAATAATGTCGCTAAAATCATCAAAATATATAAATATAATATTGGACCCTAATGACCCATTTACGAATTTAACCTGCCTACTGGAAAAATACATATGTGTGCAAAATTTTAGTCTTCTAACTTAATTCGTACGAAAAATAGTGTGATTACAACAGACAGGCAGACGGACAGACACACAGAGAGACGGACATCTCTAAATCGAAGCTGTCCGACCTGTACCATCTTTATAACAGATCTTGTGTTGATGGAAATATTGAGATGTGCCAAGTCCGAATGATGTTTAATCATGTTTTATGAGCTTCGTGGATTTTCAAAATATTGACCCTTTGTGGGGGAGTTTCCAGAAGTAGTAGACCGATACATTCCATCTTCACTGCAGATCCTGTGTTAGTAGAAATAATGGGATGTGTAAAATATAAAGAGAACCGAATGCTAATTTCAGATTTTATAATTGTTTTGGTTATTTATAATTTTGATCCTTTGTGGAGGAGGTGCCAGAAGGAATGGTCTGATCTCTACCATCTTTAAAAGAGATCTTGTGTTGAAGGAGATATTGAGATGTATCAAGTCTAAATGGACTCGGATGTTAATTTCGCCTTTTATGAGCTTCATTGATATTCAAAATTTTGACCTTTTGTGGGGGAGGTACCAGAAGGACAGGACTAATACATTCCATCCTAATAAAAATAAAAAGACCTAATAAAAATTTTGTGATGTGTGTAATTTGAAGACAATCCGACTCTAACATCACATTTTACCGATATTGTCCATTTTCGTATCTAACCTAGAATGGTTGCAAATATTAACATTTGCAAAATTGGAGCAAAATCGGAATATCCTTTCTCTTTATGTGCAATAAAATATTTTTTTTAAATTTCGAACTTTTGTGTGGGAGGTACCAAAAAGAGCTTATCGTTATTGCCCATCTCCGAAATCGATCTAAATTCGATTATAATATTACGATGTATCAAGTTTGTACCAAATCGGGTAATCCCTTCGAGAGTTATCGTACCTACTAGCCAAACATACAGACGGACAGACATCGCTAGATCCTGAAACGGATTTGGTCCTAGGGTCTAAAACCGTTATTTCGATAAAGCACGTTTTGGCCGTATTAAATGATGTATAAACTCTCTAACCATATGGCTGAGGGTACAAAAATTGCTTATTTTCATTACTCTGTTGGACATATTATAATCCCAATATAATACGGAAACGATAGCTTTGGTCTAAATTTTCCGCATATTAATAGACAAGGTAAATGGGTTTTTGTTGTAAGAGACAAACTTAACTTATGCTTAATACCAATTCGTAAAAAATGACAAATAAGTTTTATTCAAGTATTTGGTTCGTCTTCTAATCAGTTTACAATCTCGCCACTTTGGTAAAAATATTTTAAAAATAACTCCTGGGGACAATATCTATCCCCAGACAAAAACCAAGGATTGTTGTTTCTTTCCAAAACCATGGTATTACTTGCCTTAACCACTAGTAAACATTACCATCTTTCTGCAGAAACATCGTTTTTATAAAAATAACAATGCCTAACTATTTTGCAACAACAAAATAACTAACGTATCCCGAACAAAAATGTCAACACTGTTCTTTCGCCTTATGGGGATTACTATCTTTCTCTTCTAACAGCGTGTCTGCAGGCAGTTCAAGTTCGAAGATGGGCTCTATCGGTCCACGATATCGTAAAGCCTCCAATTGTCTGGAAATTCACAAAAGGAGTTCCTTCTGAGAACTTTACGCCCTGGAAGGGATATGTCTCTATACGTCCACGATATTGTATATTCTCCATATGACGGTACCTAACTATATTCAGTATTTTGATGATTTGAGCTAAATTTTGGAATTGTCTAAAAATCCGTACTAGAAGTTTACCACCTGGAATATATGTATAATCCACATACAACGGTACCCCCGATATTCGACGACTTTAGGGACATTATTCATGGAACTTGTTTCAAATTTCGTATTTACAATTCCTAATAGGTAATACAGCCTGTGACAGAAAATTTTCAATGCAGGTCCAAGTCATCGTATAGGCCCCATATATCCCCCCCCATATATCAGTACCTCCCTATATTCGGTATTTTGACGATTTTAGTCACAATATTTACCGAATTTGTTTGAAATTTCGTATTAGAAGTTCCTAATAGTTACTACAGCCTGTGACAGAAAATTGTCTATGCAAGTCCAGCTCTTCGTATAGTCCCGCTATAACGGAACCTCCCTATTTTCGGTATTTTGATTCTTTTAGCTACATTATTCACCGGATTTTTTTTTTGTGGATTTGTGAATAAAACTTCTTTAATGTCCAGAGGTAAATAACCATGGTTTTTTTTAAATATATTCTTATCGAATCTAGATGTTATATAATCTGGGACTTACTAAGGTCCAGAGGCCAAGAAATAATTGATTTTTTAATGAGATTTCTTTAGGGTCTTGATATACATAATCAAACATTTTTTTTTAAGATTTTATTGGTTCGAGATTTTATTGGGCCAGCGCTAAAAAATTATGGATTTTTAGTACAAGTTCTCTACAATTTCCTAATAAGATAATTGTGAATTTTTGAATAGAACTTCTGAAAACCGTAGATGTTTTATAAAATTTTGTATACTTAATAAAAGTTTTTAGGTAAAATAAAAGCGGATTTGACATTTCACAAAATAATCATAGATTTTTGATAACAATTCTTTATGGTTCAGATGTAAAATAATCGCAGACTTTTTCATAAAATGCATTAAAGCTCAATTAGAGATCATTACTTTGAGAGTCGAGGATTTTTCAATGAATTACATGTGTTTTTTTTTCAAGTTTCGTATTTGAATATTGCACGTGCACGTCTCGCATAGTCCCCAATATAACGGCTATATTCGGTATTTTTACGATTTTAACAGAATTTATTTTTTTGAAATATTGCAAATTCGTTCCAAATGGAGGATGTTATTCAAAGTTCGGTCCCACCAAACTTACTGCTTTTTTACTTGTTCCTTTCATTTGGAATTTTGCCGAAAGAAAATATATTTTGGATTTTTGTGGTGCATGTTTTTTTTTTTTTTCTGTGAGCGACGAACACATATCAAAACTTTTCGGAAATGGACATGAGTTTTTAAAATTTTTATAAAAAACCCATATTAAAACGAATACGGTTGAATACAAACGATTCGAGTGAAAATAACTTTTTTTTAAAAAACAGGCTGTAAATGGCAGAATTTTAATAAGTTAAATTAAAATAAATTATAGCCGAATAATTTCTTATGCTTGAGCCCTAGTTATTTTTATTGTTTTAAAATTACGCCAATCGCAATACGCAAAATGTTCCGGCTGGGAATTGATATCGTAGAAATCATTCTCATAATATTTTTTTTAAATTATGTTCTTGTAATTTTTTATATAGTTCTTAAAATTATATTATTATTTTATAATATTTTTTATTTATATCAATTATAACTTTTTTCAAAATATTTTCCCAAAAAAAAATAAATCACCTCATACGAAAAGTGATTTTTCAAAACACCTTTACATCGAAACTTACCTCTTTATGGCTATTCAATTTCCTTCTTCTTAACACAGACAACAATCCGTGGATATCCTCAGAAAAAAATGTCTAATGGAATGATGTTGTTGTTCTTCTCTTCTTTTGCTTTTCTTTTCAACTCTTTCTCTCTGTTTAATACAGCTGGGACACTGGGTAAATATTAATTTTTTGATAACGTGGATATTTGCGATACATCAGATGTCACTCTGGGTTTGACTTTCGTGGGTGTGGGGGGTTTGGTTATGGAAACAAAACTAACCCGTGAATAAAGAAAAGACACCACTTTGTCACAGAGAAAATACACCCCCGGTCTTTGTTAGTTGTGATGCGACCACGTCACACGTTAGAATCACTGAAGTAAGAACACCGACGAAACTGACGACGGACGGCACCCACACATACACTCACAAACACTCAATTTTCTTCTATACACGTCGAACAAACGAGCCAAAGTTATAACAACTTGAATGCACACACACACACACACCAAGATACACTAGAGGGCAGCAGCAATGGCGTTGAAAAACACAGACACAGATTTAGAAGTGGTCTACACACTTTTCTTTCTGGGATGCTGTGTGCGGTCGTTTTCGTTTTCGTTTTTTTTCTATTCGTTTATGTATGTATGGCGAATATACAAAAATATGATTTAAAGCATACAATTTCACTCACAATGACATGAAGAACTTAAGCAATTCCAGCAAATCAATTTCGCTACAATTCAACACTTGCACAGAATTCAATTTCAATTATTTAAATGGATGATAAATGCAAAATTTTTGTGTTTTGAATTCAATTATTTCTTCTTGATATCATTTATAGCTTTTCTATTTTTTTTTTTTTTTTTGTTTTCAAATTATTTCTTATCTTTTTTCAGATGGGATTTGTTTTTTCCTGAATCTTGAACTTTATGCGTTTTCAAGGTGCTTTTAATTAACAAACTTTACACGGCACACGTTCGAGATGAACTGAATTGAAATTCTGCTCGGACCATTAATGGAAGACCATGAATCATGAGAAAAATTTTTGTATCTTCCGGTTGTGCTACAGAGCAACTGAAAGTTTAGCAAAAGCTAGGCACAGATGTGCGTTTCATCCCCTGTACGCAAAGAAATGGGGGTGGTAGAGATTGAGTTGAGAGAGGGAGAGAGAAATAATGAAATTTAATGAGTATGTGTGGAAGAGATGAGAGTATAAGAGAAATTTTGAAAGTTTTGAATATTTGTATACTGGTGAAAAAATAAATAGGGTTAAATTTGATTTTTCTATGTGAATAGGATTTTAAATGAAAAAATCCGTGATGAGATTTCTTGGGATCCAGAAGTTAAATCATCGTGCATTTTTCAATGAATTTTTAGGGTCGAGAGTTATCAAATTTTTATGATTCTTTAGGATCCACAGATAAAATAATTGTCAAAGCATAACCGTGATTTTTTTTAATAAAATTCGTATCTGATCCAGATATTATAGAATCGTGGAATTTTGATACAATTTCTTTAGGTTCCATTGACCAAATTATAATGGATTTTTAACGAGATTCCTTTAGCGTTTAGATATGAAATAATTGAGAATTTTGAGATTTTATAGGGTCTCGATTATAAATCTTTGAAAAATTTTCACATAATTTTTTAGGCTCCAAAGGTTAAAAAATGCTGGGTTATTTAGAAAATTTGTTAAAGTTACAGTGGTAAAATAACCATGGATTTTTAGTACAATTTCCTTGGGGACCAGAGGATTTTTGAATGAAACTTCTTTAATGATCAGAGGTAAATAATCGTGGCTTTCTTTAAAAGAAATTCTTATCGGACCCAGATGTTATATTATCTAGGACTTGTTAAGGGTACATAGACGCCTTAATGAGATTTTATACAAAATCAAACAATTTTTTGAGATTTTATTGGTTTCAAATGATAAATTTTTGAACAATGAATTTTTTAGGGTGATTAAATAATCATGGATTTTTAGTACAATTTCCTTAGGTACCAAAGGTCCAGAGTTTAATCGTGGATTTTTTTAAAGAAACTCTTATCGGATTCAGATGTCCAAGAAATAGTGGATTTTTAATGAGATTTCTTTAGGGTATTGATATATAAAATCAAACAATTTTCAATTTCTTGAGATTTAATTGGTTCGAGATGATAAATTTTCGATTAACGAATTTTTTAGGGTCCAGAGGGGTCAATGCTAAAAAAAATTATTGATTTTTATTGCAATATCCTTAGGGACCAGAGGTCCAGAGGTAAATAATGGTGAATTTTTTTAAAGAAATTCTTATCGGATCCATTTTCTATATAATCTAGGACTTCTTATAATGTATAATAAGTTTTCTTTAGAGTGTTGATATACTAAATTAAATAATTTTTTGAGATTTTATTGGTTCAAGATGATAAATTTCCGAAAAACGATTTTTTAAGGTCCAAAAATAATCATGGATTTTTAGTACAATTTTCTTAGGCACCAGAGGTAAGATAATTGTAGATTTTTGAATGAAACTTCTTTAATGTCCAGAGTTAAGTAATCGTGAATTTTTTTAAGGAATTTTAATCGGATCCAGATATTATATAATCTAGGAATTCCTATGGTCCAGAGGCCAAGAAATAGTAGATTTTTTAAGGCCTTGGTAAACATAACCAATTTTTTTGGTTCGGTATGATAAATTTCCGTGCTAAATTTCGGTGCTAAAATAATCATGGATTTTTAGTACAATTTCCTAATAAGATAATTGTGAATTTTTGAATAAAACTTCTTTAGGCTCAAGACGATTTTTTTTTTATTTCAAAAACATTTCTATTGGATCCGTGACTGAATAATCGTGAATGTTATATGAGGTTCAGAGGTAAAATAATCACGGACTTTTTGATCAAATGTATTAGAGCTCAATCAGAGATCATTTTTTTAATGAATTATATGAAGGCACCATAATTGTGATCTACTAAAAAGTTTTTTGAGTGTTTTAAAATATTTTTATAAGTACCATAATGCTGGATTTTGTATGAAAACATTTCATACCCTTATACCAGAGGGTATACATCGTTAAATACGACCAAAACGAACTTAATCGAAATAACGGTCTTAGATCCTAAGTATCGTTGTACCGTTTCAGGATATTTGGAGTCGATCTACGATATCCCGTACATCTTTCTGCTTGTACACACAATTTGAACTAATACTAGTGCATCGTAATATTATTGTAAAACTTAGATCCAGTTCGGTGATGGGTAATGTCACTCCAAACCTTGCAAATCCCAATATTTGTATCAGTGCTATCAGGTGCGAAAATGGGCTGATATTATCCCACTCCATCATGTTCCTCTCCCACAAAGGGTAAGAATTTTGAATAATTATAACTCTCATAAAATGTAAAATAAGCATCAGATTTTCTTGCAATTTCACACATCCCAATATTTCTACTAACACTCCTTCTGGTAACTCCCCCACAAAGGGTCCCAAATATATATATATATATATATATATCTCTTATGACTTCCGAAACAAGTTAGACATTATTTTTAAACTTGGTATATCAAAATATTTCTATCATCTGCACATCCTATTTTTTTGATCAGTATACGTACCTTACGCAAATTTTAACATTTTCAAAAAAAAAAATATCAAATCTTCTATATCTATAAACGAGAAAAATGAAATGAACAGATTTTCCTGAAAATTTCCAAGTATACTACAACATCGCCTGAAAGTAATATATCTTGTATGCATATATCTATTGATCGATTACAAATATAGTCTCCAAATTTGGAATGTGTAACAGAATTTGAAACAAAAATAAATTTGCCAAATTATATTTAAATCGGCCCAGATTCGGATATAGCTCCAATATATATATATATTTTCGGCCGATTTCACATATTTGAGGCACAAAACACAATACGTATGTCCGAATCCAGTAAAATTCGGCATGAGTGACTAAATTTGGTACACAAATAAATTACATTGAAATGTATATATTATATATATTTTCGAACGATTCCGTTTTTTGATTAAGCTATCACGGTATGTTCGATTCCAATGCCATATGGAATGTGTGACGGGATTTTGATCAAATTTGGCACATAGCTATGTTTGCATCAGACTCAGATGAAATACAATGGACACTTTTGAGATTTTTTTTATTTCAAAGCCCTGATCAGTTTTTAATAAAATGTTCATAATATAGAAATAGTATATTTAGGGCTAAAATAGTGCATTTTATTGAACCTCTCTTATGTTTTTAAAGGACATTTTGTAAGGACCCTAACCATGAATTTTTGATTAAATTGTTTTAGTGTATTTCAGCAGCAATTACTTAAGGATCCATTCAAATCCTTATCATGGATTTTGTAATGAAAAATCTTTCACATTACTAAAATCCTTGATATTTTAATCAATAGCCAGTCTATCGGTACTAAAGTCATGGATTTTTTTAATATCAGTGCCAGAACTGTGGATTTTTAATAGTGTTCTTAATACAAATCCTTGAGGGTCTATCTATACTACAGTCGAGAATAATTTAATACAATTTCCTGGAAGTCTTGCAGTTTTCAGTTATTTTTTTTTTAAATATTGGATTTTCTTTAAGATTATAAAGACAATCACGGCATTATCACCAATGACAAGTCATCGGAAATTACCACACTACAATAAAATCAAAAAACAAAGAATTGTCATTACAAGAATGTCAAAATCTCATTTTACTTCCCAGCTGTTTTGCATTTTTATATTCACCTTGTACTCGCTCTCCATTATATTTCTCTATCTACAAAGGCAACAAATAAATTCTAAGAGTTCTTTGCACAGAAAATCATCCACTGTCCTGTATATATGCACAGAGGTTAACGCTCAGAACATCGACCACAGTTACATTTATGCTCCCTTAAAAGTCTCCAAAAGCTTTTACTCAAATCCATATCCTACAGGAGTTTATTTTTTCTCTCTCATCCATTTTGTTTGTTTTCTGTTCTGGCTGGTAATGTTGTTATTGCGAAGTTGTTTCGTATGAATTTCTTTGCCTACGGAGTATGTTGTTATTATTCTAATCATGTCCTGACCATACAATGATTTCAGACAATATATCTCATAGTACGAATGTATTCTCCATCATCTTGTGCACTATTCCCTAGACTAGAAATATTATACTTGTCAAAAGAACGGAGCACAAAGTTGAAGAAGAAATGAAACTGTTAAAATCTATTCGATTTGAACGCTGTCATTGATATCCTGCCATATGCTGGAATGAATATAAATCTAGTTTTTTTTTTTTTTTTTTTTTTTTTTTTGTAATGGCTTTATTTTTTCTCCTTGACATATTGAAATATTTTAGAACATTTAAAATATGTATGTGTTTAGAAAAATTGAAAAATGACGAAATCTAAAAACAAACCAGCTTTCCAACACAACACAACAAAAACAATACCACAGTTAAACAAGTAAAAACGCTGTAAGTTATGCCGGACCGAACTTTTAATACCCTCCACCATTTGGTACAAATTTGGCAATTTCCAAAAAAAAAAAAAAAAAAAAAAAATCCGTGAAAAATTCTTGTAATATCTTAAAAATACCGAATCCCTATACGACGACGTGGACCTGCATAGGCAACTTTTGTCATAAGTTATTACAATATTTAAATGCGAAACTTGAAGAAAAATCTGTTTATGATGTAGCCAAAATCATCAAAATATCGAATATAGGGGGTACCGTTATATGGGGGCTATACGAAGACGTGGACCTGCACAGACAATTTTCTAGCATGGGCTGAACTATCCATTACGAACTTCAAATACCAAATTTGAAACGATTCCGGTGAATAATGTCGCTAAAATCATCAAAATACCGAATATCGGGAGGTACCGTTATATGGGGGCTATATGAAAACGTGGACCTACATGGCCCATTTACGAACTTAACCTGCCTACTGGAAAAATAAACATGTGTGCAAAATTTTAGCCATCTATCTCAATTCATTCGAAAGATGGCGTGATT